GCTTTCTCTAAAACTAAAACTAGTTCTTGTGAAGAACGAGATAAGTTTTCTTTAACATTTTCAAAGTTTATTTCATTATTGGTGATGAAAAATGCTTTGAGTTCAATCAATTCGACTAAAGTTTTGTCGTTGTTCGCGTCTAAATAATTTATACTAGACCAAATCTTGTTCGAAGTTAATATAGAACTGTGCAATATAAGTTCATGGACAATGGAAAACAGTAATTTTATGTCTATGTGCACATAGTCAGTAAGCTTATGAAAGATGTAGGTAATGCTAAAGAATTCTTTGATTATTTCCATGCTGGTAACGTGCGTAAAGTTAACAGGATGTTTTATTAAATCTTTGTTTTTGTGTAATAAAACTTGATGGATAAACCAAAGTAATAATGACCCGGTTTTTTCTTCGAGAGATTGCATCGATTGTGTTATCTCAATAACAAAGTCGATTATTTTGTTTTGATATCCTTCACTTGTATTAATGTAAACAGTGAAAAAACATTGCCAAAGCCGTAGCCCTTCTAAGTTGTTCTCTATGTGAAACCTTATGAGAGAAGAAAGCAGATCGATTATATGCGAGACTATGACTGGAATGCTTTTACACAGAATGAACGAAGAATAAAAAAAATCGCAAATAATTTCTGTGATTTCCGCATAGATTAAATTGTTCGAGTTTACGTTCATCCAGTGGCATAAAACAGTTAGGGGATATTTTAAAATCGCCAAATAAAATTCTTGGCAAAACATGACGCCTGAGTGCTGTTTAACTTCATCAACCTTTTCACGTGAAAATAAAACAGTTTGTTTAACGTCATGCTTTTCATCTTTGCAATTAGTGACGTGCTGTAAATCTGTTGTTTCAAAGTTTTTTTGCTTGAAATTAATGTTTAAAAACAGTATGTCTTGCAAATCTGTATGCAGAAATGAAATGTTGGTAGGACATTCATTGAAATGAAGTTGCAAGTAAGAAAGTTTACATAATGCTTTAAGAGCAGCTGAAAAAGTGTCGATATGAGTTAATTCTTTGATAAATCGTAAAATATCTAAATCAAGTTTGTCGAAGTTAGTCTTGGAATAGTTGCTATTAAACAAATTAGAGTACATTTTATGGATTGACTGCCCATCGTAAACGATTCTGTTTTTGTCTGGTTGTTTATGCGTATTATTAATATTGATTTGGTAGCTAGATAGAACTGAATCTGAATGTAATTCTTTGAACTCTGCTGTTTGCAAAAAATTAGGGCTTTCAAATGCAAGTTTAAAATCGTAATCGATGTATTCGTTCGGGTATGTTATCTCTTGTCCGCACGTAGAACAATAAGAAAGCAAATCGTTATTCTCGTCAAACTCAATGTTGTTACGTATGATGGGCAAAAGACTTTGGTAATAAGCACTCGACAATATTAACTGAATTATGTGTTTGCAACGATGAATTCGTTTTAGCTTATTTAAGTTTGACACAATAATGAATAAATAATCAAACTGCTGCAGAAATGCTCCATAATTGTAACAAAAATCAAACAACAGTTTTGTAGCCGTTATAGGTTCTGGAAGTAATACTTGAGAAGCTCTGAAAATAAGAAATCCAGACAATATGCATAAAATGAAATAAACTCGATTTATTAGTGTTATCCTATCACGATGCGTGTTTAAATTCACGGAGCAGTAAATAACTGTAATTAAACCGACAAATAGATTCTTATCTGAAAGTTTAACATTGTCTAAAGAATGAGAGGTAAAAAAGTCGGATTTTTCGTTCTGTGATTTATCGGTGCTCAGCGTTTTTTTCTCGAATTTTTTGTCTGTATCGCTTTTTTGTGGTGTCGAAACAGATCCCAAAATTATTTCTGTACTATCGTCTCCGCAGTTGTTATTAGATAAATACTGACTCGATGCAGTCAACAAATATCGTATTGAATATAAATTAACGTTATTTAGACGACTTAGGTCGCCTCTGCAATAACAATAAATAAATAATACATCTAGTATTGGCATCGCAAGCGCACTATTGAAAAACTTAAGTGTGTCGATCTGCTTAAAAAAAGTTTCATCTGTCTGAAAATTAACTCTGATTTTATTTTCCTTTAAATCAAACGCTTCGTTTTTAATTATTTGGTTAAAGTAGTCAGTAGAGTAACTACAAATCCATTCTGAACGAGTCACACTGTCGTAGAGCTCTTCTAAATACTTATTATTCATACAATTTGTTATTTCACAAGACTTAACGTTCGTGACAAAATTTTCTCTTGTCATTTTTTTAACAACATCGGCGTTATGTGCGTCAGTGTGAAGCATTATGATACTGAAACAAATAAGGTAAACAATGTCATTGAGCTTTGCAGATTTTATATTTTGAAACGCTGGGTTTTGTCTGCTATACTCACTCGCAAATATTTCAATAACACGGTCGATTTGTTGAGTTTCGTCTGGCAAGCTAACAGACTGCAAAAAAGACTCAAGAGCCATTTGCAGTGGAATGTTTTTAAAATTGTAAAATTCCAAATAACAAGCCAGCGTTTTTTGTGAAAGATCGGAGTTTTTTCCAAACCATTTTCCTAGTGCCTTTTGCTGAAACGTGTATGTAAACAAAAATCGCGCTAAACTTCTGGGATCAGGATTTACTAAGTTATTAGAAGTTACAATCTGCACTATTGAATCGATATTTTCTTGATTTTCATAAATTGTTTCTAATATCATGTTTTTAAATTCAATATGCTTCGCCAAAGTGTTAAGTTTTGCTTGCAAAAAACGTGGCAGCCATGATAGTTCCTGAACATTTTGACTATTGACGTATTTGTTCAAACTGTCAAGAAACGTTTGCTTTTGATTTTTCAAGTTGTATTTTAACAAAACTGAAAATAACTTTACTATCTCCAATTCTAAAAGTCTTCGTTCTTTGTTTTTAATAAATTTCGCATTTCTGTTTTGAGCCTTGTCTTTATTAGCATTAACCGGTCTGCAAAAATTTACTGTTTTCAAGTATTCTAATTTATTTAGCGAGATGTAACCGCTTTTAACGATTTCAATTAAATAATTGATAAAAGTTTGAACGCAGTTAGGCGCGTTCAATGATAAATCTGAGTTATAATATATGAGTTCGAACATATTATCGGAGCTGAAAAGAACGCTTGTTAAGCATTGAAAAAGCTTAGTAACTATATTAACATCTGTGACGTTGTTGAACAACAGTAAGGGAAACACGTCTGATATAAAATTAATTCGCACTGTTAAAATGTTTTCGATATCTTGCCAAGACAAAAAAAAACTATTTAAACAGTCTAAAAAAGCAAGAATATGCTTACTGGTTTTGTCTTTAGTTATTTTTAAGCTTGCCTGCCTCACGAAATACAATATTTTCGTTTTGAATTCGCTTAGATTTGACTTGAAACGCAAAGGCGACGCTTTGTCTGTAGAAAACTGTTTTGTCAGTGTCGTTAGGACTTGATATCGTATTTCCAAAGGGATAGTCGAGTCCTGATTTACTGGACTGATAAAATCGTACATTAGTTCGATATATGAGTTATACTCGTTCAAATGAAAATTAACGTTCTTGTAAGAAAGGTCTCGTTTTTTTATGCTGTTAGAGTTGTTTTCAGGCTCTTTAAAAGACGTTTCAAAATCTTGATTTGTATTTTTCTGTTGCAAAACAGGGGTTTCAAATGCAAGCAAAATTTCGGAGTTGCTTTCCAAACATTCCTGATCGCTGAAAATTGAGTATATCGATGAGCAAGAATGGAGATTATCGATATCTAGCGAATGGCTGGATTCGATGGGAGATAACGTGGAAATTATGTTGCGGGTTTCATTATCTAACGAGGTCTGTGGCGTTGCAATTCCTGCCATTAGATATTCGCACGGTTCATGCGGTTTCACATGAAGCTGGACGTCCTTTGGGCCGTTTTTATTTTCAATATAGGGATTAATGGGCAGATATAGTTCCGCGTTGCACTGTTTTTTTTTGAACGGTGAATTATTTTCTGACTTGTACGGTCGAACAAACACAATATCTTTAGACTCCTTGTATGTATTCAAGCTATTGCACTCTTGCGACTTACCGGAGTCTTGCACAAGCTTGGGTGTCTCTAAGTATTGCGTTGTACAAGTATTTTCTATTGGAATCGTTAGCGATTTATGGACAAGTTCAGTTTGTATTTTAGGCTCATTCAGTTTTTTTTTAAGCAGTTTTCTTTTAACACGGCGAATAATTCCAATGGTTTTTTTTTTGGTTTTCTCAATCGTGTCACTTGCTTCATCGAATTTTCGTTGAAACTCAGCTTGTTCGTAAAACTCTTCTCGTTTATATAAAATTGAGTTTATTATGGTGTTTAAAAATTCAACACAACGTTCAAAAAGTACTTGATTGTTTTGGTCGATCAAGTAAACGAAATTAACGTATTCCATTACTTGTGTAATGTTACTGAGTAACCATTCTGTAGAACTAAAAGACAATAATTTTAATACAAGCAGCACAAATTCTACGTTTTTCTTTTTCAACGTAATCAGCTTTTCAATTGCTCGCAAGTCAATATACTGTTCGATTTCCACAATTTCAATGTACGATTGTAACGCTAAAATAGAAAGTTTTTGAATGTTAAAATCAATCAGCTGGGCGAGGATAGACCAAATTTCTTTTGGTGAAGTAGTCTGTTTGAGTTCATTTCGGAACTTTCTGAATTTTCGTCCGTTCAAAAGCTGAATCAACAAATCATATTTTTGATAGTACATACATTATCAAGAAACAAATTACCGTTTATTCAGTTGGTTTATGAAGCCAGAAAGTTTTTAACACAGACATTGATCACGTTTGGATATTTTTTTATTTTTAGAGCGATTATTGGATCGAATACAAGAATTTAATGGTATTTATTTATTTATTTTTTTTTTGCAAGCACGAAAAAACTATTAGAACGCTATTCGAGGAATTTTCTAGTTGCAGACCAGATAGCGTTAGAATGCATTTTACATCAGTTGTGTAGTTTATTACATTAATAAATATTAAGAATGTCACAAAGCAAAGCAGATAAGGGGGCTAAAAAAGCCAAGGAGAAAGAGAAGCTCAAGATAATCGAGGACAAGACTTTTGGGTTAAAAAACAAAAACAAATCGAAAGCTGTTCAAAACTACATTTCTTCATTGAAGGCTCAGGTCTTAGGGACTAAAATCAAGACAAAGGATGAAATCAAAGCCGAGACAACTGAGCAGATGGAAAAGCGCAAAGAAGAAAAACAAAAGAAACTTGCTAGCTCGCTGGAAAAAGCACAGAAAGCTATACAAGCTTTGAACGCTCAAATGGCTAAAGCAAAGGAAGCCAAAGCTGCTTCTAGTAAAATAGATATTTATAGCGATCCAAGGGACCTTAAGAATCAAACAATGGATTCTTGGACACAGGAAATGCTGGAAGACGTTATCAAAAAACGACACGGAGAAAAAGACAATCGCAGCACCACGGTCGTATGCAAGTATTTCCTCGAAGCGCTCGAGAAAAGGCAATATGGTTGGTTCTGGGTATGTCCTAACGGCGAGAAGTGCATGTATAGACACGCGCTGCCTCCGGGTTATGTGTTGAAGTCCATAGCCAAAAAGACAGATGAGGAGCCCGAGCCGTTGACTTTGGAAGAAGTGATCGAAAATAAACGTTCCATGCTGAAGTCGAACGGAACGCCTGTGACTTTGGAACGCTTTTTGGAGTGGAAGGAAAAGCGTAAGATTCAAGCGGCAGAGGAAAAAACTGCACAACCGAGCCAGTTAAAAAACAAAAAAATGTCGGGTAGAGCCTTGTTTGAATACAACTCTGACCTTTTCCGCGATGACGAAGCAACGAATCGAGAGGATGAAGAGCTTTCCCGGTTGTTACAAGAGGCTAAGAAAGCTCAACAGGAGCTCGAGGAACTGGCTCGTGATGAGGCTGACCAACGCGCCAAATCTACCCAAGAAGAGTTCGAAAAAACGATTAAAGTTATATATAATGAAGAGTTACAAACAATAGACGAAAGTCTCTTGGATTGAACGAAAATTTTATTTAAAGCATGTTCTTTTAATAAATAAGTATAATGTTTTGGACGCTTTCCGCGTCTAAAACGGTTGGTTGCGGAAACGAGGTTTGCCTCTGCCTCGAAAACCGAATACAAATGGTCCTCGGCCCCGGGTTGAGTTGAAACCAAATATATTAGCGCGTTTTAACATTACTTTTATTTCTCTGTCTCTAAATATGCTGCCGTGTAGCTCAGTAGCCTTTTGAGCACTTTCAGGTTCAATGAATTCTATGTAAGCGTAACCTTTGGGTTTTCCAGTTATCCTGTCGGACATAATTGTTATCCGTCGAATTTTACCGCAACTCGCGAAATGCTTTTCGAGTTCCACCGGCGTGGATCCGTAATCGACGTTACCCACGTAAATACTTCGTTTAATTAGTTGCATCTCGGAAGTTTCGTGATTAGAATCGTTTTTCAGGCCATTCTTCTCGGATTCGTCTTGCGATTCGACTGCTACTTCTGCGTCACTCGTGGGGTTTTCATTTTTTTTGTCATCTGCTATTGAATTATCACATACTTCCCCGGATAACATATCTATAATGCTTTGGAATGCTTAAACTCACTCTTAAAAGTAATATAATAATTTTATAATAATTTCCATTTCATAAAAACTGATAAACTCTGTAATTTTTATGAAGATTTTTCAAGATTTTTAGCACTTAAATTTATTAACGCTTTTAGTAACAGTTGGATTCGCATTTCATTTTTTGTCAAAAGTTTTTTTGCCAAGTTTAACCAGCAATCGAGCTGTTTTTGTTCCGCAATGATTCCATCTTCGTATGTTTCTATTGGAATGGATAACCGGTCGCTGCCGTTTATAGTGACTAAGTACCCTTTGTTCTTATTGTAGCCGAATGTGCCACAGTTTTTTATTCCGGCTTCTCTACACGATTTTACTAAGCGCATCGCTGCTGAGAAAGAAACACATTGAACTTGTAATAGCAGAGGCTCAAACATTAAAGATGCTTGACATTGAATCTTCTCAGACATTTCATCGATTTTCGAACTGATATTCTGTTGTTTGCATACATTTGTTGCAAAATGAGTCGAGTTATTCGCAATTCGGTCTAGTAACTCACACGTGCTGATCACTTCCTCGGCGTCATGTGCATAAAACACCGTGTAGCCTGAATGCTTTATTTTTTGATTGTAACTGAAATCTTCAGTTTTGGCTTGTCTAAAAACGTGAATTCGGCCGCTACAAGTGCTAGTTGTATAATAATCTTGGTGTGAATTAAGGGTTAAACAGACTACGCTTAATTTTGCATCAACGCTTTTTTTTAAACTTCTATCGATTTTATTGGAATTATTTCCGACTGTCAAGCTGACTAAACCGTTTAAAACCTCGTTTGAATAAATAGAAGCCAGTATTTCTCGTTTTCGTTTTTGAAATAGTTTTATGTTGATACCGTCATCAGTGTTGCGGTACATGATTAACCTCAAATAAATATATTTTTTTTAAACGTAGAAATATTTTGTGCAGTCAAAATTTTTCAATGACTTGTTGTTGGTTAATTATTTCGATTTTGTAAAACAAACTTGAAATCATCATATCCGATGTATCCGTCATTGTCCAAGTCTGCGATTTCCAACAGCTTAACTAGTTGATCATTGCTTATATCAATGCCTACAAAGTCGCTGAGCGCTATCAATTCTTTAGCTCCGATTTTACCTGTTTCAGATTTGTCAAATAAGTTCCATAAGTAATTGGTTTCATCTTCAGAAAGTTCTTTTTTTTGCAAAATTTTTGTTCCTGACTGAATTAAGTCAGTAAATTCGCTATATGTTAAAAAAGTTTTATTAAAATCTTTAATTTTATCTAATATTGGGAAATAATTCAAACTGGCTGCTTCAGAATCTTCATTTATTCTTTCGTTTAGCAACGTAACAATGTCACTTTTATGGATCAGTTTCGTTTTTTGAACGTCAAGGCAATCAAACAATTTATTTATGATCTGAATTGAAATAATCATGAACTAAATTAAAAAATATTTATTTATTATGCCCGCGAGTGCCGGAAATTTTATTTTTTTTTAAAAACTTGACTTTTCGCTGAATTAGAATAATTAGCGACTGTGCTCGTTGGGATCTATTATACAGTATACCAACATAAGACTACTACATCGCTAGCAAACAACCTAAAGCGCTTTGATGAGTCATGTTGTCTCGTCGAATGATGAATTGATGCCTCGGTATCGCAAGATGAGTTATATGACGAGATGACTGACTGAGCGTTACAATTATTTTTTTAATTTGTATTCAAATATGTGGCGGAACCCATTACTATATTTTGTGTATCTTTATATAGTCAGTTATTACCGCTAAATCGACAGATTGATTTTCTGGCCCACGCTTTTGTTTTTTTTTCTAATGCTAAAAGTTGAAAGTCAATCGATATTTATTTTAAATTAGATTTATGAATGATCTTAAATTGTTGTTTATTTATAAAATTATTTTTGGAAATCTGGTTTATGTAGTTTATAGCGACGGAATTGGATATTCCTGCGTTGACTAAATCGTCTGCTGTGATAGTTTCTTTTTTTTCAGTGTCTAGGTAGTCGAAAAGCTTGTCGAGTAAATCTTCACAAAGTAAAAAGTTAAATAGTTGTGGGTTTGCGATTAATCGTTCGACGAGAACAGGCAGATTATAAGGTTGAGGGTGGGTTTTGGCGTCTTGTCGGAACTTTTCAAATATATTAAAAAATTCCGTATAGCAAGGATTGCGCTCGTGAGCACTCGTTGTTTGAGCAATTATGTCATCGGAGCAGTTTTCAAAAAAACGTACAAGCATCATGACGAGTACTTCGTAGGCCAAATTATTGCGTTTCAACTGGTTGGAGTTTTTTATTTCCTGAATCAAATTGTGGTCAACGCAGTACTCTAAACTAACGAACACAAAGTATTTTTCGAGCGTCGAAGTGAAGAGAAAATACTGAAATGAAATGAAAAGCAGCAGCCCAATTTTGAACATGTTGCTTTTGTGGAAACTAAAAGCCAGTACGTTATTCAAAACAAGGGCGTTGGAAACAAACTGAATGATCTTGTTGTTGTAGTTGATGCTGTAGAAAGGCAATTGGTACACTTGGGGATTGACTTCACCCGTTCGTGTATGTATAATGGGTTTGATTCTGTCTAGTACTAGTCTTGGATACGTAGCGTCTTCCGAGGTCTCGCTGTTATGTGTGGTCAGAGGACTCTCTGACTCAGCTTCAGGATTTCCACTTTTAGTGGGACGCAAAATTTGAACACAGTACAGGATGACTATGTAATAAACGGCTATAACCAGCATAGTTATACCAGTTGATGCGATTGGAAAAACAGTGCCCAGTAAAATGAGCAAAACAAAACTAAAGCTGAGTTGGCCGTTGTACACTTCGCTGAGGTGATTAATCATTTTTTCCTCCATGTATTCGTCATAAGATATTTCGTAGCTGTCTTCGAACCGTTGTTTCAAGTCTAAAGCGAGTTTCCAACGTTGGTTGTTCATGACGTAAAAAAAAGTCATGATCGAGTGTTGCAGGTAGCAAATCATTATGTAGTAAGTCCATTTAAGTAAGTTGTCGCTGATTTCCATCAACGGGTTTTCTACGAATTTGTCTGATTCGTGGTTTCGTTGCAACATTGCTCGTTTGGTCTCGATAACCAAGGTGGGTGTGAAGACGCGATCGTTAATCCGCATAACTAGCCCAGACGAAACCAGCAAAAATACGACTAAACTGAAAAACCCGACAGTGGCCAGAACCCTGGTGACTACGGCAAAAAACTTTTTGTACTTATTGAATCTGTGCTTTGTTCTGTGGTGGATTATCTCATAGCAAGCAGTTAGAAAACAAACTACCAGCAAAAAACCCCAAATAAGAAGGGGTTTCACATAAATGTCGTTCATCAAGTGGTCACCAAGTGCAGTGTATTATTTCAAAAGAGTCAGAAAAAGAGCTTGAGCATCTGATCATGCGAAATTTGCTTATTAATCACAAATAAATAATATAAATGAAATTAAATACTCAAATAATTTGGTTGCGAAATAGGACTACAACGGTCAAATAGCCACAATATAAAAAAGCACGCCTGGCAATAAAACAACTATTTTCTGTAAATCTGTAATGACTTTTAGTTGGTCTTCTCTTTTCTCGTAACACGACCAAGAAATAATCGAACACATAAATCCAGCAGACATCCAATCAAAAAGCAGATAAAATAAGGGTTTACTACATCGTTTACGATGCTGTCACTGGGAATAAAACGTCTGCAGAATGGTATGAAAAAGTTTTGGTAAATGTTGTATAGAGTAGACTGGACGGTGTTGAGATGGCTGATTTTGCTGATAGCACTGTAAACCCAGTCGCCGTTTCTTATAGCCAACAGTAATCCAAGGATAGCGCCACAAATGGAAAAGTAGTGGCGTGAAAAATTTTGGAAAACAGGCGAAGAAATTGTGCTGATTGTGGAAGAAAGTCCAGCAATGAGTTGCAATTGCTTAAAATCGCGTCTCGATAAAAAAAGTACAAGAAATACGATTCCAAAAGTTCTTATCCAGGCTTTGCTAAGCCCTTGAGTTCGAATCAAGCGATATTTTCTCGAAATAAAGGACAGTAGGACAACGGCTATAGAGCAGCTCAGCAATAGCTGAATGTTCGAAATGTCTGTACTGTGCTCAACTTGAAGCGGTAAAATTTTGTGTTTGACGAATAAAATTATTCCATTGGAGAAAAGTAGTACGAGTAAACATCCAATTACTGGAAGGATGTAAGGATTTAGGTTGGAGTTTATCATTTTGAACTTGAAAATAATATTTAATGAATTAGCAATTTCGCGTACGAACGCGAAAATCAAAAATATTTATAGGATGTATGAAAAATTAAACAGTAGCATGAGATGTTATATTTTAGGCTTGGTTAGTCTCTGTCTACTGGTCCGTATTGAAAAATAAAATGGTAAAAATGTAAATGAAAATGGGATTAATGCGAATATTTT